CCTAGAAGCAGGGGCAAGAGTGCAATCAGACACACACCAATATGAAATATTTAATTGTGTCCTTCTGAACTTCTGATATGGAAATGACTTGGATTGAGTTAAATCTCTGCCAATTTCAAATGACATCCCAAGGAGAATCAAAGTAGCTTTTTATCCCTGGTGCAGCCAAGATGAGGTACAGAAATCTTTCTTCGATCTGTCCCTAGTTCAAAGACTCATCTGACCTTTTAAAAGGATCCGGAAGGAACAGGTATCAAGGACGAACATGCTGCAAACTAAAAGCTACTGGCATCTAATACCTTACAACAAAAGTAGAAGTTATCCCACCAGGATTATTTACCTTTGGGGAGGTAGATGTCTCATGTTCAGCCATGACTACCAAGGCAGCTCCTTTAGGAGAACTTCTGAATGCCAAACTACCAACCTCACCCCACCCCACCACCACCACCCAAACCCAAACCCCTCTACCTATATTATTTAACTGTCTACTATTTGAAAAAACAATGAAACAAATAACCCGAAATTTATTTGCTAGCCTGTCCAAATGGAAAGGCAGGATTTGAAAACCTGAAATGCTGAACTGGGCCAACTGACAAAGAGCCACACAGAAAGTGTGCCTGTTCCACAGCTTGGCCAAATTCAAACTGCTCAGTTCCCACAATCCTTAGTAATAACTGAAACTCGAGTGGTGGGGGCTACTCATAGTAGGACCAATAAGAAGCCCCCTCCCTTAACTGCCTTCATCCCTGGATTCCAAGTTCTAACTCCCAACTGTCAGACAGCCAATCTGGTCTATGCTTCAGATGTTGGCCTAGAGACTAGTAGACTGGATTTCTAGTCCTGCCTTAGACATGAAAGCCAGCTGGATGACTTGGGACCAGTCACTCCTTCTCAGCCCAACCAACCTCACGGGATTGTTGTGGGAAAAACAGGAGGAGTATTAAGTATGTTCACTGCATGGAGCTAATTATAAAAGTAATAAAGGCAGGATGTCCACTCCTGTTCTGGTTCTTAGGAAATAAGCCAGGGAACTATGTCAGTATATGTCCATGCCACCTCTAGGTGCAAATCTTCTGGATTGCATAATCCTCAAGTCTTTCATTTTTGGAAAACAAACCATGCCAATCCATAGGAGAGCTGGAACATCTTTTTCAGTGGTGCTGGTTTTCAGACCGCAATTACACCTTCTTCCCCAATGACTTGTCCCTTCCTGCTTCTGCAGAGGGCATGGTGAGTTGTTCTGGTTAGTCCCCCTGCTCAGAAGGCTGCCTGCTGATTTGATGGCATTACTGTATCATTCAGGTCTTATATTATATTCTTTATTAGGATATAATATTTATTAGAATTCATTATTAGCGAAGTGTGATTGAACACACAAGGAATTTGTTTGCGTTTCCCACAGGTGGGTAGGCCTCATAAACAATGCCATTGTTTTATTCGAGGGATGAAGGTGGAGGTGGAAGGTCTGCCTCAGTATTCTGGAAATACCGTTTTACAAAATGCAGCTTCTTTAGGTCCGTGTTTTTCTTTGGCAACACCTGAGCTAAGGAATCTCTGAATCATTATGTTGGGTTTAGGTCAAGGTGCCAGATGAGAAGTCTCCCATCCTAAAACTGATCCCTGTCTATTTTGAATACACCATAGTGGGTGTATTCCCATTCTTGGGGACATATCGGGTGGGTGTGTTTGCTGTGTATATTGACAACATGCAAGTTTTAGGGAAACCTAAAGTCATTGTCTGACTCTGCCCCTTTCACCCCAGTTTCATCGTGGGCAATAATACCCATTCAGCAAAGAGACACAAGAGTGTAGCCACTGGATGCAGATATTTGCTTGTTATGCTACATAGAGAGTTGTGTTGGTTCAGTGTGAGTGAGCAAAGAGATGGGATTCACCTGCTTCCTTCCTAAAATATTTAAAGGAATACTTTTATTACTTCTCTTCATGTTTGGTTCATCAGTGGACATGATTGTCTTCTCCATTGCTTTGTGTCAGTTTGAGGAAACCGAATTGGGGCTACTTAGAGAGGGACGTGGGGGAGACCGGGTGCTCTCTTCCCACATTTTAAGATGTCTACAAAGTTCAGATGGATGTCTCTCTCTGCCCACATTTAGCTCACTTCCTTTTGGTCACTAAATGAATGGTTGTAAGTTCAGGACCTTCTGTATTGTCTCCACCAAGATCCTTACATTCTTCCATTGTCTAAAGTTGTAACTCTAATTGCTCTGAAAGTTATTGCAAACTTGTAATCTAGACAGATTTTCCAATTTCTTGTAGGTGTTCAAAAGAAGCTTAAATGATACCACAAACATCACTATATAATTGCATCTGTAATGAAATCACAAGACAGGTGAGATTCTGTGAAAACAGGTGAGTTCTATCGTTACTATATTTTTGATTTTACGGTGGATACCCCAATATATTTGGAGAAGATAGATAGGAAATCTGACTCGGTACTAGTTCAATAGATGTCCCAGGTTGGCTGCCATAATTTTCATTTCATTACATAGCTTATTATTGTGTGGGAGGGGGTGAATTCTCTCCACACAGTGCCTGGTTGCCAGGTTTTATCACTATTGATTGTATTTAGGTGGCATTTCAGGCAAGTTGGCTAAGAGTAAAAATCCTAGATGGTAAGTAGATCCCAGGGATGAATGACTCTGAAGAGTGAAGATCAGCTTGCCTTCCATAATTCATGCATGCTTGGATAAACTTATGGCACCCATTTCCATTCAATTCTGAAACACAATCCATTAACGCAAAAGTCCAAGACAGGTTTTCCAAATGTCCATCAATTATCTCTTGCAGCTTCTTCCAAGCTGTAATAGAAGAAATACAATGTGATTTTTTAAAATATATATTGTTGCCAAAGTTGGAATGTCAGGCCTGCCTCCATTCATAACCGAAGAAAGAAAAAAAATCCTGATATTCTGACCCAGCTTTGTCAAACAGAATTAATACTAAACTTGTTTTAAAAGCAAAACCTATTTTATTGCAATGCTGGGAAATACGTGCATTCCCAGCCAGAACTAATTATAAACAGTCCCCCAAGATAAGCACACTCCTTTCAGTGCTGTGGAATGTTGCCAAAACCAGAAGTATAACAGAAATCAAGTACCAGAAAAAACTAACCAGTACACAGAGCTTCCAAGAGGACTCGGAATCTATCGAACTACTTTACTTCCTGCAAAGTTTTCGTCATTGAGGTCTGACTTTTATCCCTCATGGGAGGGCAATCACCTCCCAGCCTTACTCCTGAGTTGCCTCTTCTGTTTCAGCTGCTCTCGCCTTCTAGCAGCTCTGCACACACGTGCACTGGGAACAGGCTCCCCTGGGTCCTCTGCCTCGCTGCTGCCAGACTCCGAAGGCTCCGAAGGCAGCACCCCGCTCCTAGATGGTCCTGGCCCCATCCCTGCATCAGACGCAGGACCCGCGTCCAGGTCCTCTCCAGACTCCCTGACTGGTTCCCTTTCCTCCTTTCCGATTCCGCTGTCATCTGCACCGACTGCTGGCGAACCACAACACCCGATTGCATTGAAGTAGAGAAGAGGTACATTTACAGAGTTTGAAATGATAGTGGCGAAAGAAAAGCAAGAACTGAGCCAAAGGCACAAAAGTTACATATTGAAAGTTTCCCACATCCCTTCCCCCAGGGACCCAGCTGAATGTCCAATCCATGTCCCGGATAGTGCCATGTGGAGCATATCTTCAGGTGTTTTTGTCCATATGGAGTTATAGGACGGTTGGCCTTGACTGGCTGTAAATAACTCCATTCAGCAGCGGAGTAATTCTTGACAGCAAACCTCCCTTTTAGTTCATATGGTCCTTCATCACACCAGCTCACTTCCCAAACCGCAATGCCATGCCCCCGCTCCTCATTACTATGGCAGCTGATAGCAAGCAAGCATCAAAGGGAAACACCATGCTGGAGATCCGGCTGACAAGGATTTAGGATAAACTGGATAAACCCTATATAGAAGTCTTTGGCTGAATTTAAAAGTTCAGCAATGGAAACCTGAGTTATCACCCTGTTTGCAATGAAGGTGAGAATTCGCCCTTCACATGAAATTCTCCTCAGAAATGGTTTACCTCAGGGGTCTCCAACCTTGGCAACTTTAAGACTTGTGGACTTCAACTCCCAGAGTTCCTCAGCCAGCTTTGCTGGCTGAGGAACTCTGGGAGTTGAAGTCCACAAGTCTTAAAGTTGCCAAGGTTGGAGACCCCTGGTTTACCTCACAACCCATGCTAACTACAACTCCTAGAACCCCCAATCAATGACGTCACTACAAGAGGAGGGGTTTTTTTTTAATGCAAATTAACTGGCTATTATCAAAATGGTATTTCATTTTAGCATTTCATAAATCAAATGATTGAACAGTAAAATGTAACAAATCGGAAGTTTTTCCTTAACCAATTGTCATCTTTCATTCTCAACTTATTTCTCTTAGAATTTTTATTTAAAAAATAAAAAATAGGAGAGGAAATTGAATAATGAAATTACTAGAAATGTTTAAATGATATGGTGGTTGGCACTAGGAGCGAGTATTGCAATGCTGAAAATAAGCAATAAAGGATTATGATTTAATGCGAATACGTGTATTAAGAGATATGATTGTTATTAATTTTGTTTACATTAAAATGTATGATGTATTGATACCACATTGTTTATGTATTGCTATGTATGTGTAGACTATAAAAACAACTTGATTTTAAAAAAAACTTATTTCTCTGACTACAACCATTTCCCAGATGTTGCAATATTGTTTCTTAACCCTCTAATTATTAACAAAGCACTTTAATTTGCATGATCTTCAGTCATATTTTGGCTTCTGAGCAGGGGTGGGCTTCAAAAAAATTAGCAACCGGTTCACTGCCTGGTTGCTGGGTGGGCATGGCCTAGTCGGCCTCCTGCACCACGGCAGGGGGGGTGTTTTTGCCCTCCCCGGGCTCCGGAGGCTCTCTGGAAGCTGGAAACAGGCCCATTTCCAGTCTTCCGGAGCCTCTGAGAGGCCTGTTTTTCGACCTCCCCAAGCCTCTGTGTGGGCCCTGCACAGGGATGGGATTCAATTTTTTTAACAACTGGTTCTGTGGGTGTGGCTTAGGTGGTGGGTGTGGCTTGGTGGTCATGTGACCGGGTGGACGTGGCTTGGTGGTCATGTGACTGGCTGGGCGTGACCAACTCAACATCACTCACATCGAGGCACGCATCTCCTCTCCTGGCCTCTCATGACTGTGGGAATGCTGCAACAGTCTTAAGTGTGAAAAATGGTCATAAGTCACTTTTTTCAATGCCATTGTAACTTTGAATGGTCACTCCACACAAGCAAAGTACCAGCAAAGGAGGGGAAAAAAACTCCAGAGAAGTTCCTGAGACAGGAAGTCTAGTCCTGCCAAGAATGTAAAAAGGGTTAACGGAGAGGCAGTTTCTGTAAGCAACACCAGAATGTTTCCTTCCTGCCTTCCTTACAGGATTAGGCCAGTAATTTCTTCTAGCAACCGGTTTTCCGAACTGCTTAGAATGTTAACAACCGGTTCTAGCGAATAGGTGCGAACTGATAGAATCCCACCCCTGCTTCTGAGTGAATTCAGCCTATGAAGACCCAAGAGGCTCCGAATGAATATCTGAATAAAGACATGGAAAGTGTATAACAAACACACTGCCTCCCTTTCCAGCTTATTGCATATGTGTGGAAATTGTATGGGGTGTTGTGATGTAAATATTGTAAATTATTTATTGATTTTAAAAAACCGAAAATAAATTTCTTTTTCTTCCCAATAACACAGTCCTGAATTTCTGTTGATGCGATCTTCAGGACAAAAAAAATAGCATGAACCAGATCACATTTGTTGTGTTTGTTGAATTGGCTAGTTCACTGTAAAACCCAGCTCACCTTGCTGCCAAAATAATTACCAACTTCAGAAAACCAAAGATCAATAAAAAAATAAAAAAATGTGTCATCAGCTTTCATTTAGAATAGATTTGTCATGGAGAAGATACCTAGGTCATGTATAACTTTTGGTCTATTTTCCAATTCCTGCATTGAGATTTTTTCCAAAGTACTGGATACTTTTCAGAGAAGAGATCAATTTGATGTCAGAAGCAAAAAGAAAAGATAAATCCAAAAAATGTGAAGCAATATGAAAAAAGGAAGTGAAGAAGAAGAAATGACTGAGGAAGATTTTGTCTTCACTATCTAGAATCAGGCTTTTAAGCTGAAGTAATAAAACTCTTCAGTATTTTCAAAACAAGAAAACCATCAGTTAAATAACTTCAGGGACAACTATTTGAAAAAAAAAAAAAAAAGAGAGAGAGAGAGAGACGGAAATTCCAATTTCTGAAAAATTCAACTTTTAGTGTACAACAATCCAAAGTACAGGAGCTTAACCATAGAAAAAAATTAATACATACTTTATAAACCACATATTTACATCGGAAATCACTTCGACAGTGACAAATTCCTTTGTCACAAATATAAATTAATATTAATTACTGTACTTAATCATAGGGATTTCATTTTCCCTTTAAGTCCATGGCTTTATGCACCAAATTTCTTTTACCCCAGGGGGAGATGCAAAATTGCATCAAGTAGGGTTATTGTAGCTGGATGACTGGTAGAAACCAAACAGCCAGAAACTTCTCCTTCAATCTTCCAATAAACCTTCATAATTGCCTCAAATTAGGCACAAACCCAGAATTCACCCTCCCACCAGCATTTTGTAATTCTTAACCCGGGCAAGAAGAGAACATAGAAACATTCTGGAGTTATTATTTCATCTAATGCTCACAATCCCATTGCAAAAATATCCCCTCCTAAAATTATGGGGCCCAAATGCATTTCAACCTTACAGGAAAAAGGCAGAACAATCAAAAACATATTAGAACTTAGGGGCCAAATAACAACTATTCTAATTAAGTAACAATTACAAAGATATCAGAACTTAGGGGTGAAAGAGTAGCTATACTAATTAAGTAACAATTAAGGAACATATGAGAAGAGTGAAAGTATCCCACCGGAAAACTATTGGTCCAAATATATTTTACCTTTATGGGAAGATGTCAGAAATTATGGATAAAATAGTAACTATTCTAATTAATTATATTGCAATTAAGTAACCATAAGAAAATTATCAGAAATTAAGACTGAATGTATCCAATTTGAAAACTATCGGTCCAAAAATATTTTGCCCTTATAGGGAGGGGAATGTCAGAAGTTTTGAGTGAAATAGTAACTATTCTAATTAATTGTGTTATAATTAATTAGCAATTAAGGAAACTACAAGAAATTAAGTTTGAAAGCAACTACTTGAAAACTAGTCCAAAAATATTTTGCCCTCATAGGAAAATTTAAATTTATTTAAGAAATATTTTGCCCTCATGGGAAAATTTAGGAATGAAATAGTAACCATTCTAATTAATTCTATTCTAATTAAGAAACAATTAAAGAACCTGTCAGAGCTAAGGAGTGAAAGAATTGTTCTAATTAACTAACAAGATAGAATTCTTGGCTTCCCTTTCCTGTTGGATATATTTGGAATTCACATTTAGTCAACCACCCTGGGTAAAAATAAAAGGACCTTGGAAAAAACTCTATAGTGTCTTTTCTGCAATCACAATTAACAGGTGAGATGTAATAGAAAAAGTATATGACACACGCATGGACAAACATAAAAAAACGCCCCTCTAGAAACTTAGAAGACAAACACTTGGTCTGATTGTTTCCTTCTTATTTCACCAATCAAGTTTTAACACTTATCGAAATGACTTGGCAGTGAAATATCAAAAATTATGGCTCAGGATTGTTGCCAGGGGCACAAAATTCATTTGAAAGGTGATAAACACAGGGAGGCTATTTTCCGCATGTATTTGGCCATTTCATTTTTAAAAGCAATAAATTTAACCCAAAGCAATGGATTTGGGGCTAAGTGCTCACAACTGCCCACACATATATATTTTGGGCGGGGGTGGGGGGAGACAGAGAGAAATATCTGTTGGAGTTGCTTATTTTTTTTTTTTTTTAGAAGATGCTGCTGAGACAGATCATCGAAGTATAATTATGACTCAGATCTTTGCCACCTGTGTATAAAAATTCCCTGTGGGACAAAACTCCATGTTTCTCTTCACTCAATGCGAGGCTTCCTTCATCTTGCTTAGTTCATTGGTGTCTCTTTTCTATGGATGACAACCATGGGGTTTTTTGAACCTTTCTAACCAGAAGTACGAAGTTGACCATCTTGAGATGTTCATGGAATCCTGTCTGAGGTGGACCCTCCTCTCGGCTCCTTTCTCCAAGCTGAATCCCTGGTGTTCCCATGGATCATGAGAAGGAGAAGAAAAAAAAACAGGAGCTCTACAGTCAAATTCTGAATACTGAAGTCTCCCAATGTCATGGACATACTGTCCTTCTCGCTCCTTCACAACCATGGAAATGAAAGTTCTGCCACCATTTAAAAACTGTTCTTTGTCCACAGCTCTACTTGGTTCACATAGTGCTGCTCGAAGTCCCAAAATTGTTAAGGCAAAGAAAAGCACGGAGAAGCGAAGAGGAGGGAGGGACCATAAACCATTCCTTCTTCTTCTTTTGTTTCGTTTTCTGGCTTCTGTCAATCTTAAGTCCATAGACTTCCAAATCTCTTCAGTAAGAGTTCCAAGCATTTTCATCAAAAGTTGGTTTCACCATTCTGAAAAATCAGTCTCACTCCTGCCCTCCCTGATGCCAATTTTTTTATTCAACAGCTGTAGCTATTGTGGTCTTCTTTATCATCCCCTTCCAGCAGCCAATTGAACCTGAACTCCAAAACCATATAGCTTTTGCCTCCGTCTGTACCCTTTGCAGCCTGTCTGTCCATTCTGTGAAATGTCCAGAATTCAAGTTGGCATTATGGACACAAACCCAAAATCTTCATTCCAAAACGTAGGTGGTAGACCTGACCTTGTTCTCTACAGATCTCTTGGTGCAGGGAAGACCCCTCCCAACATCCAGCCAGTATCCTGATGGAAGGCAAATCTGGGGCTAAAGTTCAGGCTCCCTGGTGGATCCAGTTTTTCTGACCCCCTTCCAATTCTTACAGCCCAAAGCTCTACAGCACTGTATTCAGGCTTTCTGGTTCCAGCATTGATGGCCCTATAACTGGTGTTTCCTTGGGCCGGACTAGCTCTTTCCGTTGGCCTCTGCTTCTGGGACTCTAGGTTTTCCGACTACTCCAGTTATAATCTGGATTGTTCTTCTGCTCTAAGGGCCTATCCAGAGGTGAGCGATGCTGAATGGGAGACTTGGCACCAAGTGGAGATTTCTGAGAAGCTGGAGAGCGAGGGTCGGAGACCTGGGAGTGAGGAGGGGGAAGGAGTTGCTTGTAATCAGCTGATTTATCTTGGTGGAAAGGCCTGTAATGGTCGGATGGCCCTTGCCCATGATAACTCAAGGGAGGTCTATAGTCAGACATCCTCCGATAATCTTGTTGGTAATTCTGGGGCCGGAATCCATCTAATCTTCGTCTCTTGGCTTCATGACAGTATCTGGAGGGGAAAGAAGAACACAAAACATTCAACTCAACAAAAGAGGCAAAGATGACCCTATCTAGGTCTTGGGATGCTTAAGTCCCTCTGGTGGCAAAGGCATGGAAGAAGAGAACAGGAATGTCAGCCCAGTTCCCCAGTATCTAGACACTAGGGGAAGGAAAGAAGATGGACAACAGCAGGGTTGGAGCCCAAGCCTATATGCTTTACATTGTGGGTCATATTACATATACTTCGAAAAACGGACAGAGCTCACAATGCAAATCTAGAACGTGGTTGAAGGGTGCAGAGATACCTCCAATGAAGGAATGCAGCAACTGTGTCCTGGAGAAGGAAAGGCTGTGAGAAATCATAGGGATGGAAGCAAACTTGGAGGTCTTCTAGTCCAACCCCTGGTCAAGGCAGAAGCCTCATACTGTCCCAATCAAATGGTTGTCCAGCCTATTTTCGAAATCCTCTACCAATGGAGCACCCACAACCCCAGCAAATAAGCTATTTGGCCGCTTAATTGCTTTTGCTATTTAAATCCTACCAACCCTACAGTTCAAGTAGTCCTTGCAAACTCCATTCCATGATCTGGCTGACAAACACCATTCACTGTTTTTGGCATGCTGACTCCTGCAGAAACACCATAGACTAGCTGAATGGCCTGCTTAGCACCTCACCTGTAGTCCGGTTCTCCGCGGTAATTGCGTTCACTGTTGTACTGATCGTAGGGGCGTTTACGAGACAGGTTGCTGGGCTGGTAGTTTCCTGAGCTCCGATACTGTTCTCTGCGCGCCTGGCGATCCGCATAATGATGATCCTTGTGCCAGCGCGGCTCATATGGGTGATAACGGTTTCTGCCCCAATTCGTATTGGCATTGCCACTGTAGTTAAATTTGCGATCCCTCTGCCATTCGCTTCGTTCTGCATGACAAGGAAGGGGAAGAAGGTAGCACTCTTTCACAAGAAGCCCAACTGGTATTCACTATCTGTACTTCTGCCTTTGTCTACTATTCATTTGATTTTTATCATCTCCTTTTTAAGAGAATAAGAAAAATGAGGAGGAGGAACAATAACACAATAATCAAAGCATCCATAACAGGAACAGCCCATCCAGAGTTAAACTGGGAGTCCTGAATTGTGTAGTCCATGTGGTTCCAGTAAGGGGGCCAAGGATAGTCATGCATTGCCCCCTTCCCCCATCCCAGGAAGCTAGATGGGACATCAGGAAGAAGGGCAGAGCTTCTATGGTCTTCAAGAAGATCTGCCATCACACCGCTTCACCCCTGCTTTACTTTGACGGTTTTTAAAAATATGTTGGATATGTTGGATAACCATTTGTTGGATAACCATTTGTCTGAAGTGATGTAGGGTTTCCTGCCTAAACAGGGGGGTGGACTAGAAGACCTCCAAGGTCCCTTCCAACTCTGTTATTCTATTCTATTCTAATATGGGGATGGGGGAATGCACATATGTTTCCAAGATGGCGCTGATGACAGGTGCCTCAGTGAAATGCTCTCTAATGGTTTCTTTATTCTTTATTATTATCTGCAATTCACTATGAATTTCATACTTATGAGACCATCTGCTAAGAATTAGGCAATGTTTTCTTAAGGAGCAGCTTTCTGATTCCTCACCCACCCCCCTCTTTGCCATCACGGAGGAAATTCTAACTAACTCCCCAGTGCTATGGATTACAACAAAGAAAGCAAAGAAGCGGCAGCGCCGAAAAAGGAGACGAGGTAAATGAGCAGGAATTGTAAACAGACTAAGGAATAGGGGAATAGTCCCTGGTTGATCCAGGAGAAGCTCTCTTTTCCGGCGGCGGAGAATTGAAGTTGCTGAAAGTTGGGACAGCTCTGGAATGGAAGAAAGAAGGAAAGAAAGTGTGTCGCTTTGGTGAGATATTTTTAAATACTATTTTTGGGGAAAGAACACCCAAAGGGGGTAAAGGAAAATTTGAAAAGTGAAGACAGAAGAGGATAGGCAGCGAAAACAAGCTTGAAGTCAAACTAAGTGGGGTTTTTTTTGATCGGGTTTTTTTTGCTGGATTTTATTATGGACGCCAAAAGACTTTAACTACAAACTGGACTGGTTTTTCTTTTTTACTGTTAAGCAATAATTTTTGTGAAAGGGAGAATTTTTTTTTTACTTTACTTTATAGTTTTATTTGGTTTTAGTTCAAAAAAAAAGGACTTTTAAACTTTTTTTCTTTGTCCTGGTTATAAAGAAAGAGAAAGTAGAGTATACTAAGTAACACTGCCACCCAGAGGCTTGAATACATTGTTTTTTTAATTGAGTATAAAGGGACTTAGAATTTTACTTCAAGGACTTTTCAGCCTGTCTGTTTATGTGCTTTAACAAGATAGTGGGATGAGCATGGAAGAATGTTATTGCGGGTGCTCTTCTGGTAAACTGGCTGGAGTCTGGAGTTGAAAGAGATTATAGTGACCTTGAAAAAGAGCCTGGAATAAATTTGTTTGGATTCTGACAAGAGAGCCTTGGACATTGTACTGTGGCAGTGTTTTACTTTGTGACAGAAAGTTCTTTTTTTTTCCCCCTACTTTTCCTCCTTTGTTTTTAGTTTTTAGCTGGCATCTGTGCCTGTTTAGCCTTCTTGATGGGATTCTTTTTCTTTTTTCATTCACATAACTAGGAGCTTTATTTTGTATTGGAGCAGAAATTTTTTTTCTCTTTTAATTTTCTTTTGCTTTTTAATGGAATTCTTTTTATTTTAAATTGGAACTTTTTAAATAACTATTAGTATTAGTGTTTACTTTTGTGTCTTTTGTGCCTCCTGAAGAATGCATTTTCTTTTCTTTTTTCTTTAGTATGTATCCTTTTTCTTTTCTTTTTCCCTAACTGGGAAACATCATTTTCACTTACTTTTTCCTTCTTTTTCTCTTTGGAGATTGTTTAATTATTTACTAGGCATACTCCTCCCCATTCAATTGGATTATGGTATAGAAAAACCTGAAGATTTTATTGGTGTTGGTGGCCTGTCAATCTCTTCCTATCTAATTGGATTAGGGTGTAGAAGAACCTGAAGTTTTTTTACTGTTGTTTCTAATTTCTCAATTTTGTTTCCTACATAAGTGGATTAAAGTACTGAAGAACCTGAAGATTTTT